ATTTCCCAGCTTCAAATTGAGGCCATCAGTCCTATTAGCCCCTGTATCTGAAAAGCTGGAGTTTTTTACCCCTTCCCCCTCACCCCACAAAGTCTCCAAATCCTGGCTCACATTCCCTGAGGCTGGCCAAGTGTTTGCAGGTCGAAGATGACTTTCAAGGTTCTGCTTTCCTCTCTGCGTTCTGCTTCCACTTAGTTTTTGGACTCCGAGTATTCCTTTTCCTTGCCAAGGCATCAGTGCATTTTATAAGTTATTTGAGACTTTATCCAGAATTTTATTTTATTTTATTTTATTTTGGCAGGAAGGTCAGTTGCAATATCATCTGGCATTCTTCTGGGAAAATAAGGCTGTTCTATCTGTTGGTTAGAGGGACAGACAGACACACACACACACACACACAGAGGAATTTTTCTCTTTCTGTTAGTAGAATTCCATTTCGAAAGACTTATTTTGAACCTGTTTGTTTTGCCCCCTCTCTATCCCATTTGGACTTGCTTATAGCATCAGGAGCAGGCGTGCTGGTGAGAAGATGCCATGCACTTTTTTTTTTTTTTTTTTTTGAGACAGAGTCTCGCTTTTGTTGCCCAGGCTCGAGTGAGTGCCGTGGGTCAGCCTCGCTCACAGCAACCTCAGACTCCTGGGCTCAAGCCATCCTCCTGCCTCAGCCTCCTGAGTAGCTGGGACTACAGGCATGCGCCACCACGCCCGGCTCATTTTTTTTTCTATATATATTAGTCGGCCAATTAATTTCTCTCTATTTATAGTAGAGATGGGGTCTCGCTCTTGCTCAGGCTGGTTTCGAACTCCTGACCTTGAGCAATGCGCCCGCCTCGGCCTCCCAGAGTGCTGGGATGACAGGCGTGAGCCACCGCGCCCGGCCCAATGCCATGCACTTTTAGACGTGCCCGTGAAAGATCGACAGCTATAGCTCACGCCCCCGTGCAAGCACGAGCAGCAGGGCCAGTTATTGCTTTGCGACGTGACAGTCCCCGTCAAGAAGTCTCTTTGAGTTCCTCTTTGTCTGGAAATCGTGCCGCACAGACGGGAAAAGTTAAATGGCTAAGAGCGTGGAGAAATCCATACTGCTTTGGCATGCAGCTACGTGGGTGAAAAGAGAAGGGGTAAAGACTGGAATCTGTAGACCGAAGGGGTTTGTGGGCTGTCGGGGAACCCGGCCGGCCACACGGCAGGAGGTGAGCGGCCACCAAGCTGGTGAAGCTTCATCTGTGTTTAGGGCCGTTCCCATCACTCACGCCACCGCCAGAGCTCCGCCTGCTGTCAGGTCAGCTTTGGTGGCATTAGATTCTCACAGGAGCAGGAGCCCTACTGCAAACTAAAAATTATGGCAGAAAAGACAATAGGGTCTCCATATAGCGACACAAGTGGATCTACCATCGGATCCACCAATCCCACGACTGGGCACCTACCGGAAAGAACAGAGGACACTCTACAAAAAAGACACCTGCACTCGAATGTTTTCATAGCAGCACAGTTCACAATCGCAGAGATGTGGAAACAACCCAAGTGCCCGTCCATGCGCGAGTGGATTAATAAAACGTGGTCTGTGTGCACCATGGAGCACTACTCAGCTCTGAGAAACACGGTGACCCAGCACCTCTTGTGTTTTCCTGGCTGGAGCTGGAGCCCATCCTACTAAGGGAAGCTAACGAAAGAAGCAGAGACACTCTACAACAAAAAAGACCACTGCACTCGAATGTTTTTATAGCAGCACAGTCACAATCGCAGAGATGTGGAAACAACCCAAGTGCCGTCAATGCGGGCCGAGTGATAATAAAACGTGGTCTGTGTGCACCATGGAGCACTACTCAGCTCTGAGAAACACGGTGACCCAGCCACCTCTTGTGTTTTCCTGGCTGGAGCTGGAGCCCATCCTACTAAGGGAAGCGTCCCAAGAATGGAAACACAAGCACCACGTGCGCTCACGCAAACTGGTGTTGACGGATCAGCACCTAATGGACACACAGGAGTGACATCTATCGGGTGTCGGGCAGGGTGGGAGGGGAGAGGGGACGGGTGTAGACAGACACGACGAGTGAGACGTGCACCGTCTGGGGGATGGGCACGCTTGAGGCTCTGACTCGAGGGGGGAGGGGGGCAAGGGCATTATTCGAAACCTTAAAATTTGTACCCCCACAATATGCTGAAATAAGAAACTTATCTAGGCCGGGCACGGTGGCTCACTCCTGTAATCCTAGCACTCTAGGAGGCCGAGGCGGGCGGATTGCTCAAGGTCAGGAGTTCAAGACCAGCCTGAGCAAGAGCGAGACACCATCTCTACTATAAATAGAAAGAAATTAATTGGCCAACTAATATATATAGAAAAAATTAGCTGGGCGTGGTGGCGCATGCCTGTAGTCCCAGCTACTCGGGAGGCTGAAGCAGGAGGATCGCTTGAGCCCAGGAGTCTGAGGTTGCTGTGAGCGAGGCTGACGCCACGGCACTCACTCTAGCCTGGGCAACAAATCGAGACTCTGTCTCAGAAAAAAACAAATAACAAATAAAAAACAAACAAACAATAATAACAATAACAAAAATACAAAATAACAAAATACAATATAACAAAATAACAAAGACACAATAACAGAAATACAACAATAACAAAAAGCAAACAAAAAACAAATAAAAAGGTTATCTAATAAAAAAAAAAAAGAAGACAATAGGATGGAAGGGAAAGCAATAAATCACTCTGCTCCAAGTACTTAAAATAACGTCCAGCCTCAACAAAGAATCTGCGTTAACGAAAGAACAGAGGACACTTACAACAAAAAGACACCTGCACTCGAATGTTTATAGCAGCACAGTTCACAATCGCAGAGATGTGGAAACAACCCAAGTGCCGTCATCGCGAGCGAGTGATTAATAAAACGTGGTCTGTGTGCACCATGGAGCACTACTCAGCTTGAGAAACACGGTGACCCAGCACTCTTGTGTTTTCCTGGCTGGAGCTGGAGCCCATCCTACTAAGGGAAGCGTCCCGAGAGAAC